TAGGTTTAGGGTTAGGTTTAGGGTTAGGTTTGGGGGGGTTAGGGGAAGGTTTTAGCTTTATTTTTACATTTTTTGATCTTTTTTGATCTTTTTCGATCTTTTCCGTCGCGCTGTGATGACGTCACATACGCGATTTTGTCGTCCACGGTTTTTTGGTAGAACCATAATTAGAATAGAAGGCAGCTCTCCAGTGATAAAATTTCTGAAAACACGATAAAAAAATATGATAAAAATGCACACACTCTTGTAAACGAGGGGTAGAATAATATGGTGGCAAACAGACTTTAAAACAGGAGTTTAACCAGAAATTCCTTTTAAAAAATGGTACTAAATGTTCTCAGGCAACCATCTTTTGGGTTGGATGCAGAAATTATGCTAGGCCATAGATTCTTTTAAATGTGGTTTGCTGGATAAATAAGAGTTAGCTGAATTTATGTAATACATTAAGTCAAAATGGAAAAAATATTTTGATTCAATTCACTGTTGAATCCATTTTTTGTCTTGGACACCTGCCAGCAATATAGTTAGTAATGTTGCTCTCCTTAGAAGGCATTTGGTAAAGATGGTTGTAACAAGGTATGTAAAAATGCCATGCACGTATTATTAACAGGAGTATTAATACAAGTTTATTGCATTAATAAGCAATACAATAAGATCCAAGGGTGTGTAGGAGGTTTAATCACATGTTTAGTAGCTACAAATAACTGCTCTTCTGTGTGATTCAGAATGAAGATTAAGTTCCCAGCTGCAGTTAGAAAGTCATAGCTGAGCTGCATCCTCTGAAATCATTCTCCAAAACATGGGATTCCCCCCAAACTATGAAGGAGGGAACAGTCAGCCTTCAAGTTGGTACTTTCCAATAATTGGCAGTCTGATGTCAGTTAAAGTAAAAAATAGCAATAGCAGTTAGACTTATATACCGCTTCATAGGGCTTTCAGCCCTCTCTAAGCGGTTTACAGAGTCGGCATATTGTCCCCAACAATAATCCGGGTCCTCATTTTACCCACCTCAGAAGGATGGAAGGCTGAGTCAACCNGCCGCCCACTCCCGAAGGACTCCGGGCGGCTTACAATAAAACAGGGAGAGGGGATAAATAAGACAGTACAAGACAATACAACAATTTAAAAATACTATTGACTTTGCTTTCAGAAGGTTGCAAAAGGTTGTAGAACTTTGCAACCTTCATAACTATGAGTCAGTTGCCAAGCATCTGAATTTTGATCACATGACCATGGGGATGCTGCAACAGTCCTATGTGTGAAAAACGGTCATAAGTCACTTTTTCCAGTGCCGTTGTAACTTTGAATGGTCACTAAATGAATTCTAAGTCAAGGACTTAGTGGTACCAGGTGTAAGTACTACATCATGATGGTCCTGACATAATTTCACCCAAGACCATTTCATATCTGAATTATAAAGTTCTGATTGTGTAAAACCTTAAGATATCAGTACAATTTATTAGTCTCTTATTTGGGTTAGAAAAAGAAAAACACATAAAAGAAAAAATATACTAATGTGAAAACTACTATAAAATGATATTCTTGATCATGAGAAGAGTTTTTAACTTTACCACAACTCATATCCCAAATGTGATTTATACACTGTAGTTCCCAGAACATTAGCTAGATATATGCGAATTGTTAGTTTTCACGACTATTATAGATCTAATATGTTGAGCGTTTAGCTCATTGCAAATTGCATTTATTTTGTGTTTTTTATTTAGAGACAGAAATGAAGAATCTCTCCAAGTGGTTTCCATGGAAGGGCAAGAGACTGTTGTTCATCATCCGTCTACAAAACAAATATACAGTTTCAACTTTGACTTTTCATTCTGGTCTTTTGATAAGGGCTCTAACTATGCGAGCCAAGAAAAAATATACCGATCCTTGGCAATGCCTCTTCTAGAAACGGCCTTTGAAGGATACAATGCTTGCCTTTTTGCATATGGGCAGACTGGTTCTGGAAAATCTTACACGTAAGTTGAGTTGGAAGGGAAATATGGGGGGCCAAATGAGGATCAGCAGCATTCAATGCATGTTGCCTTTGACGGTGATCTTTAATGTTTTTACTGAAATATGATTGCATCTGTTGAAATCAATGCAATCCATGAAGCTAAGATAGAACCTCAGCTTGTCTTTGAGATGCCATGAGTCTCTTCGCTGTTTCTCTGATGCAACAGATTATTAACATGTTTGATCCCCTCTAGAATATAATTAGCGTGACCCGTCAAAAGCGCGTTCCACAAAAGCGCGGTCGACGAAATCGCGTATGTGACGTCATCACAACG